CCAGCTCCAGCTTTTCTTCAAGGGGAAGGTCGGATCTGGTGACAACCCCCAACAAGTCCCTGACTAGCTTGAGCCCTGCTTCTTGATCTTGGCTGTTCTGCCCTGCCAGCTTTCCATGGACTTTCCCGGCATTCTCTGCAACATCTCCCCAAGATCTCCCAACCTGCCTCAAGATCTTTTTGTGAGTTCCTCTTGACCAACTCCTGAGCACTTCCTGGTCTGCCCCAACATGCTCTGTGTTTTCAATCAGGTTTTCGGTAGGTGGCTCAATCAATTCTTCCTGCCTTCCTTGGAGCTGCTCCTTGATCTTTGGCCTGGCTCCTCCAGCTACATCCATGGCAAAGTCGTAATCCCTCCCAATGTTGTCTTCGATGTGTGGTTGAGCAGCTTCATCAAGCACTGCAATCTCTTCCTGGGATCTCTCTACAGTCGTATTCGACTCAGTTTCATCCATCTCTGTGATGAGCACCTCAAGCGTTCCATTGAGCTCTGTGATGTTTTCCTCAGCGTCTGCCTCCTCTTCGATTCCTCCCTCCAGATCCATTCCCTTGAGGCGCCTTCCTCCCCCCGGTTGATTTCCCCAGATCCTCCTGACTATGACTGGCTTCCTGTTACCTACACCTATGGCCTCCCTTGTGTCACAATACACCTTGACCCGACTCATTCAATGCACATTGAGTTTGGTTCAGCTTATGAAAGTCAGAGCTATCCCCTTAACATTGTCATGAAATATGATGTATGGTTTGAATGGAATTGTATGAAAGATGTATGGTTGGGGGTCTATATAGTTTATAAAGATGCCATTCTAAGATTGAAGCACGGAAAACTGAGAAGGAGGTGAAGAATTCATGGACTATAATTACAAGTTGTTGGTGGGAACTGTGACAATGATTGTTAAACTTTGGGTAAATAACAACATGTTTACATTTTCAGAGACAATGGCTTTTTAAGTTAAGGAAATGTTTACAAAGTTCCTTACATTAAAAAGGAAGTTAACACAAGGCTCCTTATGTTTACCAACACCAATTAAGGAGAATCAATATCTGCCAGGAACTGGGGAGCCGGGATGTTTCAGGCTGGAAAAACATCTATCATTTACAACTTTGGAACAACATCGGCAAGAAATATTGCTATATAAGATACCTTATTACAATTCCAAAATTGTGGGAGACAGGAGAAGTCTGGCCCATCCACTGCTCTTCTCCATGGGAAGGAGAAAGAGGTGGTATATTTGGGAGTGGCAATATTTGAGAGTCTGGTCACTTGCTTCTTTCTCGAGGAAAGGATGCATTTTGGAAGTATTGGAAAAACAGCAGATTTGCAGGGGAAAAAATCTGGCCTAAGAGGTATTTTTCTCCGTGAGATGGGGGAAAAAGAATGGTGAAATATGCATGAGGAGGATTGAATGTGTATGTGTGTGGTGTGAATGCTGAGTAAAAATGTCATTCCCCTTTGTTAGCCAATGTAACTGTAGGTTGTTTGTGGATTCAATGTAATTGCATTGAATCTGTACATCTGTATGGCCAATGTCATTCTGATACACTTTCTCATACAGTAAAATTGCAATAAAAAGAACCTATGCTTTAAAGTTATTGAAAAGTTATTCATAACAACACGGGTGGCTGCTATTGTATTCCTTGAAATGATAGACACACAGTCTAAATCATGCCTGGGCGAACTTGGGCCCTCAAATTGGAGGGCCCAAGTTCCCCTCACATCTTGATACATGGCCCTCATCATGCCTCCTCTCAGCCTTCTCTTCTGAAGGCTAAACATGCCCAGCTCTTAAAGCTGCTCCTCATGAAGCTTATTCTCCAGACCGTTGATCATATTAATCGCCTGCCTCTGGACACATATCTCCCTTAAATTGCAGTGCCCAGAATTGAACACAGTGTGAACACAGTGTGATTCCAGGTGTGGTCTGACCAAAGCAAAATAGAGGGGTAGTATGACTTTCCTGGATCTAGACACTAGACTCCCACAGGCTTTTTTAGCGGCCACATGACATTGTTGGCTCATGTTTAACTTGTTGTAAACATGGGTTGCATTTTGGGGTAGCATTTTGCTATTTTTGTGGTGTTATGTATCACAGGAGGTTGGACTGGATGGCCCATGAGGTCTCTTCCAACTCTTTGATTCTATGATTCTATGATACATCATTTTATACCAATTTTCTTTTAAATCCTAAGAGTAAGTAAATTTTAATTTTTGGTTCCATATTTTTTTCCAGTCTACCAATGTAATTGTATGCCTGATATTTGCTGCCCATTTAATCATGCAGTCTTTCACTTGTTCCGTTTCTGTCGACCATTCTGATTTTTATATATATTTTAGTTATTAGCTTCTTATTTGTTTTGTCCCAGAAAGTGTCCTTCAAAAATCCTATTTTCTTATCATTATTGTAGTATTCACTTATTTGTCTGTATGAGAACCAAGAGATATTCTTATCTAATTGTTTGATTTCTTCTTGTGTTTTTTATATTCATTTACAACATTTCTACTCCGCCTTTCTCATCCTGGTAGGGACTCAAGAGATACATACAATTCGATGCCCTCAAACACAATGTACATTTAAATAAATATTAAAATGGAATTTAAAAGTACATTAAAACAATGCAAACATTTAATACATTAAGAACTAAACACATAATCCACTAGCGTAATCTGGGCCGTTCCAATGGTCATTGCACATAAATCCAAGTCCAGGTATTTCACAAGTTCTTTAAAGGCTTGGTTACAAAGCTACATTTTCATTCTTGTGGAAGGTCAGAAGGGAGGGGGCTGATCTAATATCGCTGGGGGGAGTTCCACAGTTGAGGAGCCACCACTGAGAAGGCCCTATCTCTCATCTCCGCCAATCGTACCTGCAAGAGAGGCGGGACTGAGAGCGGGCCTCCCCTGATGATCTTAAACTCCACGGTGGTTCATAAAGGGAGATACATTCGGACAGATATGCTGGGCCAAAACCATTTAGGGCTTTGTAGGCTAAACCCAGGACTTTGAATTCTGCTCGGTAGCAGATTGGCAGCCTGTGGAGCTGATGCAACAGGGGGGTTGTACGCTCCCTGTACCCCGCTTCAGTGAGCAACCTTGCTGCCACTCATTAGACCATTTGTAAGGAGGAAAATTTTGAGGGACCGCGAGAATATCCAACCAGTCCATAGTTCAGGAAATAAAGCCCGACTGCTCATTGGAGGGAAGGATATTAGAGGCAAAGATGAAGTACTTTGGCCAAATCATGAGAAGACAGGAAAGCTTAGAGAAGAAAAAGGAAGGAAAAAGGAAGAGGGGCCGACCAAGGGCAAGATGGATGGATGGTATCCTTGAAGTGACTGGCTTGACACTGAAGGAGCTGGGAGTGGTGACGGTCGACAGGGAGCTCTGGCGTGGGCTGGTCCATGAGGTCACGAAGTGTGATGTCTCTATTCTTTACTATTTTATCAAGATTGGACATTGCTCTCCTCCCAAGAAGTAAGCGTCTTCTGATTTCCTGGCCACAGTCTGCATCTGCAGTAATCTTTGCACCTAGAAATACAAAGTCTGTCACGGCCTCCACATTTTTTCCCTCTATTTTCCAGTTGTCAATCATTCTTGTTGCCATAATCTTGGTTTTTTTGACGTTTAGCTGCAACCCAGCTTTTGCGCTTTCTTCTTTCACCTTGATTAGAAGGCTCCTCAGCTCCTCCTCGCTTTCGGCCATCAGAGTGGTGTCATCTGCATATCTGAGGTTGTTAATGTTTCTTCCAGCAATTTTCACCCCAGCTTTGCATTCATCAAGCCCCGCACATCCTCGCATGATGTGTTCTGCATACAAGTTAAAAAGGTTGGGTGAGAGTATGCAGCCTTGCCGGTCGCCTTTCCCAATCTTGAACCAGTCTCCTGTTCCGTGGTCAGTTTTTGTTTTGTTTAGTGTCGACCAATCTTTAGCTCAAGCCAAAGGCCTCATAATATAATTTAAGATCTGGCAATCCAAAGCCGCTGGTAAAATCTGGTAATCCAAAGTTTGGCCATTCCTGATAGACTGTGTATGACCATCATTTCAAAGAATAAAATAATTCATTGAAATGATGGTCAGACAGTCTATCAGGAATGGCCAAACTTTGGCTCTCTGGCAATTGTATATCATTCCTTGTTGGGGGGAGAGTGTGGCCTTTGAGGCCCTTGAGGCCTTTCCAAAGGGAGCGCCTCCTCCCTGATGCCTCAATTGAGAGTGCCTCAGGGGGCGTGGCCAGCGGCAGAGGCTCCTCCCCTTTCGCGTGACAGGTATTCTAAGCCTTCCCAACCGCCTCGTGCGAGGGGGCGTGGCTAACTGCAGAAGCCCCGCCCCTTTCTCGTTACAGGAATTTGAAGCCTTCCCAACCGCCTCGTGCGAGGGGGGCGTGACTAGTGGCAGAAGCCCCGCCTCTTTCTCGTGACAGGAATTTGAAGCCTTCCCAACCGCCTGGCGCGAGGGAGGCGTGGCTAGCGGCATAAGCCCCGCCTCTTTCCCGTGAGAGGAATTCGAAGCCTTCCCAACCGCCTCGTGCGAGGGGGCGTGGCTAGCGGCATAAGTCCCGCCTCTTTCTCGTGACAGGAACTTGAAGCCTTCCCAACCGCCTCGTGCGAGGGGGCGTGGCTAGCGGCGGAAGCCCCGCCTCTTTCTCGTGACAGGAATTTGAAGCCTTCCCAACCGCCTCGTGCGAGGGGGCGTAGCTAGATGCAGAAGCCCCGCCCCTTTCTCGTGACAGTAATTTGAAACCTTCCCAACAGCCTCTTGCGGGGAGGCGTGGCTAACTGCAGAAGCCCCGCCTCTTTCTCGTGGCTGGGATTCGAAGCCTTCCCAACCGCCTGGTGCGAGGGGGCGTGGCTAGCGGCATAAGCCCCGCCTCTTTCTCGTAACAGGAATTCGAAGCCTTCCCAACCGCCTCTTGCGGGGAGGCGTGGCTAATCGTGGCAGGGATTCGAAGCCTTCCCAACTGCCTCGCGCTCGGGGGCGGGGCTAGCGGCAGAAGCCCCGCCCCTTTCTCGTGGCTGGGATTCGAAGCCTTCCCAACCGCCATCCTCGCGGGTACCATTCCGAGGTACGGCAAGGGGGCGTGGCTATCAGCAGTAACCATGCCTCCTCTCTCCCCATTGGCTGTGCGTCGCCTGCGTCCGTCCCTTTCTGCTCTCCCCCTCGCCCCCGGCGCACGTCTCTTCCGTTCCGGCGTCGCTTCGCTTGCGGCCTGCTCAAGGTGAGTCCTGCGGCGCTTCCTCTCACTTCACGAGGCGAGGAATTGAGCGGAGGGCCCGCTGTGTCTTTATTTGGAGCCGAGGGGCTGCCTGTGGACATTTAATCTTGGTCGGGCTTTGTGGGAAAGCGGGAAGAGCCATTCCTCGGACCCAGTCCTGTTATTATTATTATGGCTGGTGTTGATGATTCTTCATATGGTTAGATATATAGATATATTTGAACTAAGGTTGTAATATATTATTATAGATATATAGATGATATATTTGAACTAAGGTTGTAATATAGTATATATTATGATATACTATAATAGTATACTATTAATATTATATATTATAGTATATCATATATATAATATATATATATGATATACTATAATGTATTATATAATACTAATAGTATACTATACTGGTAGTGTTTTATATATATTATGATATAATAATATAGTACAATATAATAATATATAATAATAACTGTATATTATATATTTCATGTAATCTATATACATAAACATGTAATGTTCGTTTGTGGGATTAACATAACTCAAAAACCACTGGACGAATTGACACAAAATTTGGACACAATACACCCTAACAGTCCAACAAGTGTCCATCACCCATAAACACACACACAGAGACACAAAACCGCAGTGGAACAGACTTAAAAAACCTAAAAATACACCATATATATATATACACACATACACACAGACATATACATATGCACATGCACACATTCATACATATATACACACAAATATGCATATAGACAAGCACACACATATACACAGTATGCATGTACACATATAAACACACAAATGCACAAATATATACACACACAGAGAGAGAGACATATACATATGCACACATTCATACACACACACGTATATATATGCACAAATACACACATACACATACATATACATGCACACATATATACATGCACAGATATATATTCACATATACGCATGCATACGCAGATATATATCCACATTCATACATATATACACACAAATATGCATATAGACAAGCACACACATATACACAATATGCATGTATTGCACACTTATAAACACACAAATATATACACACACATATACACAGACTGGGCCACAGCAACGCGTGGCAGTGGACGGCTAGTATTACTAATAATATTGCAGTATAGTGTAATCTAATAATATATTATATATACATATAATGTATATAATATAATGTAATATAAGATAATACAATAATGATACAGCCTAATAATTTATAATACGAATATTGTGTTATGCTAATAATGTATTATATATACATATAATATAAATAATAATATAACGTAATACAATATAATACTGTAAAATTATAATAATTTATTAAATATAAATACTACTGATAATATATAATAATTTATACTAATAACACTGTTTTCTTTTTGTATATTTGTATATTTTAAGCTGTAATGTTTTTGATTGTGAGCCGCTTTGAGTCTCCGTATGGAGAGATAAAATGGGACATAAATAAATAAACCTGATCTGTGAGTAACTAGGCATCAAACTGTGTTGTGAAAGTAACTGTAGCTACTCAAGAATAAGGCATCTTTCTGGATGAGTATACTCAGAGGTAATTGTGCAAAAGAGTGCAAACATAATATCCGTCTTGCTTGGAAATCAAGCACAAAGGTCAGTGATGACAAACAAGGTTCGCAGTGATTCAGGAGGCCTCCTTCAGACAGCGATAGGGGGGTGAAAGGGAGGTGTTTATTAAATCCATGTTCAGAATAAGAGAAAAGGCTGTGTTTGTGTGGCTATACACTTAAAACATTGTCTAAAACAGAAAATGTCTAAGAGCCACACTAGCTTAATTGTTCTCTGGACTTCCTTTTTTTGGTTTGTTTCTTTTCCAGTGCCATCTTGTCATCTTCCTTTCATTTTTCTTTTGGGAACTTTTATAGAAAAACATCTGCCTTTTTCTGTCAAGGTTTTTTTCCCCATTGATTTGTATTTTAATGGAGATTTTTTTCCATCCTCCCTTAGTAGAAGATTTTCATTATAAGAAGATATCTGCAGCTGTCAGATCTATTAAAGCAAGCATCAGTTATGTCACTGCTTTCTCCATACTCCCCCTAGTTCCAAAGTGAGAGCTGAGTCCTGATATGGTTGAAATGGACTAGGCCCCTTCACATTATCAGTGTAGATTTCCTCTCTAGCCAAACAGAATTTTCATGTTGATGTCCTTCCACCAGCAAGAGCATGATCTTTTAGCTTTCTTTCCAATTTTTGCAATCTGGCATTGTTTATGTTGATCTCCAATGAACTCTTGCCCATTCCTTCAGTGTCCTTGTAGTTTGTAAATTAAGAAATTACAATACTATTTTGCCCGTTGATCTGTATACAAGAATTTAGCCTCTGAGAAGCTTTTTTGATGCAAATGAAATAAAGAAAAGGTGCACACACTCAGCTTTTGTTTCAGAGATGAAGGAAAAGAATCTTCTTCATGGTTACTTCTTGTATTCTATATGTAATGTACTCTGTCACATCTCTGTATTTGCCAGAGTGTTCAACATTTATAAATACTTCCAGAATTATAAGGGATTGTTTGTGCATGTTTATACACAAAAGAATATGTGCAGCATAAAGTGTTATAATCTGAATTAAACATTTGGGATTTGTTTTGTGATTGTGTTTCTCTCTTTTTAGATGCTTCATCTGTTGTCAGAAGCTGTTTAGTCAACAGTCCTTCTGTTCTTATTTCACTTTTCGGTAATGAAGAGTCCATCTAATAAGCTGAAAGACCTGATTATATAATCATACGGCAGAACACAGTTAAAAGTGGTGTACCAAGTGGGGTTTTTTTTAATCTGGTATGTTTTCAATTATGTTTTTTATATTTATTCTATGTATTTTAAATGTATTTTAATTGTTTTTACTTTTCTAATAGAATATTTTTAGCTAACCTTCTGTTTTATTTTAAATTGTATAAGTCACCCTGGGTCCCTTGGAAAGAGAAAGGCAGAGTATAAATGAAACCAAATACATAAAAGAATAATTAGTGCCTCCTAGAAATTAGCTAAGCTGGCATAAAAGTCTCACAAGTGTGCCTTGTGAATAACGCCCTAAAATTTGTGGATTTGTCATTTAAAATTGGGAGCCATCTAGGTGGGATTGCTGTACTGGAAGGAGAGAGGCTTTTTCAAAATTAAAACAAACCGTTAAGGGAATTGCTTGTGGGTTCTGAACTGATGGCAGATAAAGATGCAAATGACATTTTGTTCCCATTGATTTTTCATCAATGTTGGGGAACACAGGCTTGTTTTGCCACAGCCATTAACGATAAAACCTTTTTGTTATATTTTGTTTCATTGTTGTCTTTTTAAATCTCAGTGATAGATATTCTGGGAAGGTTTTACAGAAACCTTACATATTTATGTTCAATAAGCTTTAGAAGAAAAATCAACCCAAAAAACCAGAAATGACTTGTTTACAGGTCAATGTGTACTTTAACTCTTGTCAAAAAGTAGGAATGATCCCCTAAGCAAGAGCTTAATCTGTCCTGGGAGAACCTGAAAGAAGCAACCAGCCTTTCTACTCTCTCTGCCATGAGGCCACTTCTAGCGTTTTTGGATGCTTGAGTGGGAAATGAGGGCATTGACCAGAGGAAGCTGGCTCAGAGTTGGCATTGATGCTTTCTCCTCTCTGCAGAATTAAATATTATGACATTCCTACTGTTGTTTCTGTTGCTGTGTAATTTCCAGCGTTCTAGCTCCTGCGTATCAGCAAAAGCCAAATTAATTGGATATGTCATCCATCCTCTGAAACATTAGCCTAAATCAATTTGTGGATCTCAGCTAGACTCCATGAGCACTTACTGTGTAGATCCCATTGATTCATCCAGTCTGCTTTAGTTAGGACTGACAGTTGGAGTCATACCCCTGTGACTGACAGACCAGTCTCCCAAAAATTCAGGTCATCTCTGTATGAACAGTGAGTCCTTGATGTCTTCTGGGATTTGGTTCTAGAACTCCCTGTGGATACTGAAATCTTTGGATGGTTAGGTCCATTATATACGTCCTAATAAAATTGTGCCCCTTATATAAAATGGCAAAATCAAGGTTTGCTTTTAGATATTTATAATATTTTCAAACAATAGGTGGTGGAATCCGTGGATGCAGAATCTGTGAACACAGAGAGCATGATGATCTCTCACCTTAGTGCTTCATTTTAAGACAATATTGGATCTTGCTAGCAGTCAGACTAATCATATTGGTTAATTACTGGGGGTGTCTTAATTCCTGATCTTGGTGGTTGAGACAGCTTATCTGTATCTCTTCACATTGAAAGGAAGAGCCTTAACAAGTTCTTTCAACTGTTTCAGACTGAAGCAAAATGAATGAGCATCCGAAGAAGAGAAAAAGGAAAACTCTACATCCTTCCCGTTATTCAGGTTAGTTAGGAACAGATATGTTTGCTTACTTAAATGGTAATGCATTTTACATTTTCTTCTGAGCATACTAGTTAAAGATAGAAATGGATAGCAGAAGCGAGAATTACAGTAACTGTTTAAGTTCGGATGAGCAATATCTGTGCGAGGCTAGACAGCTCTAGGAGCAAGAGCTTCATGCAGCCCATGGAACACTTTCCCCAAGCCTGGTTCAACCAAGGCACTGGTTTTGATTTATATATTGTTTTTACTACACTGTTAATTTAAAATGAAAGTTTATTGAATCTGTAAACTGGGTTGTTGTAGGTTTTTTCGGGCTATATGGCCATGTTCTAAAGGCATTCTCTCCTGACGTTTCACTTGCATCTATGGCAAGCATCCTCAGAGACTACCTCTGAGGATGCTTGCCATAGATGCAGGCGAAACGTCAGGAGAGAATGCCTCTAGAACATGGCCACATAGCCCGAAAAAACCTACAACAACCCAGTGATTCCAGCCATGAAAGCCTTCGACAATCTGTAAACTATGTGTAGAGAGCCAGTATAGTGTAATGTTTTGAGCACTTGGGCAGCCTAGAGCAAGTCACTCTCTCTCACCCTCAGAGGAAATCAGTGGTAAAGCCTGCCACTGAAAACCCAATGATACGTTTGCCTTAGGGTTGCCATGAGTCAGAAATGATATAAAGATACAAAACAAAAATATGGGGGCTGTTATGTATATAGTTTGTGTATATCAAAATGCAATTTTAGGGTGCTTCTGTTATTTTGTATGCTTATGTTTGCCTTCTTTCTTTGTAGATTCTTCTGGGGCCCCAAAATATATAGACAATAGTGGCATATTTTCTGACCATTGTTACAGTGTGTGTTCCATGAAACAGCTTTCTGATAATCGAGGTAAGGCTTTGCGTTTTGCTCCATTTTTTCACAGCTTTGTTGTTGAAATGAGGTGGGAATATATCTGGGGAACATATCCTGCAAACCATATGGTATCTGCACACAGCTTTTTTTTGTCATCGCAGCACAGATGGTGTATGCACACAATAAAAAGACATTATGTTAGACTAGTGTATCAGCTCTTTCCATCTTTCACCTACTTTTATTGATTTTTTAACTGTGCATTTCAGTTTTCCCTAACAACTGTATTTGTAGGCATGGCCTAAATCATGATTCTACAAAGGGCAATGTGTAGATCTTGCATGGTAGGCAGCCAAGCCCATTTTGTTCCCTGATGCTAATGAGTTGAGACACTGGTGACATGATTGCATGTGTTTTTAATTAAAAATAATAATAAATCTGTCAAAGTAAAAGTTCTCCATTCTGATCTGTGGTCATGTTCTTACTAACAATATAAAAAGTAAGTTTACACTTGAACAATGAAATCTGAAAACTTTTAGTAAAAATGTTTTAATATAATTAAGAATTTGCTCCCCAGTATATTCCACTGAATTTAATGACACATACTTCTGAGTAATCATGCATAACGTTGCACTGTTAATGATTGGGATTGCCTGGTTAGATAATTGGGTATTTTAAATTGCTATGTGAAAATACAGAGTGAATGACCTTGTTAATATGTAATTAAAGCAATGAGAAAATCTGCTGGTCAGCTTACTAATGATATAAAACATTGTATTGGGGGGGGGGGGATCCATTTCAATTGAGATATTAAAATATGCAGTCTTCCCAATCTTGTGATAGCAGTTATCCAAGCCAGCATAGGTAATAATGAGGGATGCTGAGAGTTGGAGTCCAACATCTGGATAGCTTCAATTGTTGTAATGCAGTGGTTCCCAACCTCTGGGCCTCCAGGTGTTTTGGACTTCAACTCCTAGAAATCCCAGCCAGCTTACCAGCTGTTAGGAACTGTGGGAGCTGAAGTCCAAAACACCTGGGCGCCCAAAGGTTGGGAACCACTGTTGTAATGGATACCCGAGTATCTAATTAAGGGCAACCATCCCTTACAGTACAATTTTTTTTTAAGTAGAAAAGGATGACCAATACATAACTAGTTGCCTTTCCCTGTATCATCTCCCTAGATTCATTTCATATAGCTTTGGCCACAAGCCCAGCATTTAGCAGGTGTTTTGTTTTTTTAATTCTTCTTCCCTCCTAAATATTCAAGGAAATGATCTGTCCTTAGCAGTTCTCCGGGAGGAACCCTACTGAGAATCACTTCTGAGTAATCATCCAAGTATGTGGGTGAGATTTTTCAAGTAAATCAGTAGGATAATCCTGTTCATGTTTACTCAGAGGTGAATCGCACTGTGTTCGGTGTGCTCATCCCCTTGAGCCATTAGGCTGTTGAATTGAATCCATTATTATTATGTTTATTTTTACCTATTTGTACCCCACTTTATCTCTCTTGAAGAAGACTCAAAGCGGCTAATATTAAAAGCATGACCGTACAATTTAAAATATAAAAATGTGCAAACATGAAAACAGAATTAAATATAATAGTATTAAAATTTACAATTAAAATCCATTAAAACATATTCAAAGCTAAAAATCACATTCTATTCCATTAAAACAACAGTTAAAAGTGGCCCTGGCCATGGGGTGAACAAGTAACTCATGCCCCATGAACCAGGAAAAAGGCTGAGAAGTAGGTGGTCGAAGGGACTCTCCTTCAGCTCTTCGGATTTGAAGCCATGGGGTTCAGGATGCGGGACCGCAGTTCAGATTTTGAAGCCTTTGAAAGGCTGTGTGCTCAGCACCATCCCGTTCAGCTGGGAGATAGTTCTCCTTGTTCTGCTCCAGACGTCCATGGCCAGAGGGCTTGCTGGCGGGCTTCCTTCTGGAAAATAGAGGCTGAGAGGCTGTCACCAGAGAATTGAAGAGAGATCCTCTGAGGGCCAAGCAGGAAGGGCTCCTGGTGCTCATGCTCCCAGTGCTCCACCTGGTCCTGAAGTTCCACTTCAACCTTGGGGAAGGTCTCCTGCAGCTTCACGTGCAGCTTCTTGTTAGAAGTTGATTTATTTATTTCATGTCAAAAGCATTGCATAAATAAATAAGTATAAAACTGATAAAATAATTTTAGACCAAAAACCAGGTAACAGTGATTGCATTGTCTGTAACTTGAAACAGTTCTTCCTCTGTGGATGAGGCAGGACACGGTGGGAAAGCATACAGATGCTGAGTTGTTTGTTTTGCTCCACAATCACACAAGGTAGAGGATTCTTCTAGGCAGTGCCATTTTGCCAGGTTGTCTTTTGATCTGCCAACTCCACTTCTGAGTCTGTTCAGAGACTTCCAAGTTGCCCATTTTTGGTTTGCTTCTGGAGAAGGACCCTTGTAGGGGGCCATCCAGTTGGAATTGCCTAATTTTGCTGCCCACAGGGATATTCTTGCTGTTGCTGGAGGAACATTTAGAGGAGTGGTGGTTCTCATGAAATTTTTCCTTGATTTAAGTTTACTGAGAGGAGGCTGATAGCCATGCAGTGGATGGCTTTCACGGTGTCCAACTTTATTTCTCTCGTAATTGGCAGCAACTTCCCATTGCACGTCAGGGGGACAGTGCCAACTAGCTTATAGAGTCTATCAGCAGGTGTAGGTCTAAGACTCCCTGTGTTTTGAAAGATAACGATTTCCAATTTCACACTGTATGATTGGCTGGTTGCTCAGAAGGGCCTCTGCTTATAATTCAGGCATGGGCAAACTTGGGCCCTCCAGGTGTTCTGGACCTCAACTTCCACCCCTGTGATTATTCTACATGTTTCATTCCGTACTATATTCACCTGCTTCATATAGAAGTTGATGAACAGTACTGTTGTATTGATCATTATTTTTATAAGTGCTCACAAAACAGTTTATGAATCACTATTCACAAACAGAACCTAGATTCAGCTCCCATGAAACACCTTTCAAAGGTTATCTTTGGTAATTGGCTGTCTTTGAGTTGTGGAGTCACAATTACAAATGGCATGAAATGAACCTAATCTGCTTAAATTACTCTGCTTCCCTAAACTACATTTTCCCAGAATTCTGCAGGAGCAACTCCCACTATTGCCTCCATTCTGCAACACAGGTGGAAAACATCCTGAGCCTCTAATTGTCTGAGGAAAGAACTGGCTTAAGCCAGGACTGTTCTGCAGCTCTTTTTTACATAATGAAGAAGCTCCAGCTTGACTGGATAATTGCTACAAGTACACTCAAAGTGGCGTATCTCCAACAGGAGCTACTGCAGCTAGAACTGGCTATCTTAGGGCCTCTTAGGCTTTCAGTCTGTTCAGTATAATCAACCACTGAACTGCAATGAAGTATTAAATATATGTGAAAACTATCAAGATGTATCAAATTATTTTGGTACAGGGCTTGTAAAATTATATTTTACAGCAAAAGAATGCATATTCCCAGCATGTTTTTTTTTTCAATTCCTGTAACATTTGTTCAGATGGATTTGGGATCTTTTGGAAACAAGCTCCACTTATGGGGAAAAAGTGGTCTACATTTTAATTTACTCAGCAAGTAATCTACACCCAGCAAAGCCAGGCTGGATTTCTCATTATTTGAAAATAGATTTCTCATTATTTGCTCACCCTATCGCTTGGGGACAGAATAAGCTGTCTATGTGATATAGAGCTACCAATATGAACTGACTTAGGAAACGACCACCAAAGTGTCCTTTTTCTCAACAGGGAGATTTTATAATACAGTGCACACCCCAGATACTGATGAGGATGGGAGCCCAGAGTATGCTCCCTGGAGTGGGACCCAGAATAATGTCATGGGGTCATCCTTCATGGATCCTAAAAAGAAAGGTAAATGGAAAGATATTTATGTCAGGTGGCTGCATGGGAATGAGTTCTAATTGTGTTTCTCTCCTACTTTTTAATAAAAAAAATTGAACAACTAACAAGAAACAGTATTAATAAATTTCCCAATTGAAAATTTAAAAACGTGAGATCCTCTGTAATGTAGTACTATTGAGCTTAGATATGAAATCTCAGGTTCAAATCACTGGTTTGAATGTTATCCTTAACTGACTTCTTGCTCTCCTTGCGTCATCTTATCAAAACAAGGCTAGGGATGACACAGCCTGCAGCTACATATGATCTGTGGGTTCTGTCAGAGTCCTGTCCACCAAATTACTGTTAAATAGCTGCACACCATCTCATAGCCCCAAGCAGTCCAAGCTCATCCACAGCAGTCAGCCAAAATAAGAGTGAGACACAAGAGTAGTCCAAAGTTCTTTCCAAAATGTTTAAAGCCAAGTAATCTTACCAATCAAAACATAATCGCCAACATTTCCTCAAGCAGGTAACTGAGCCAGCCTCCAGCTACTTATGCCACTTTCCCAAGTGATCCCACCTGTTGGCCCTCCTCCCTGCCTTCCAACTGGATCTCCTCAGCTGAATTGCATCAGTTCTTAATTGCAGCCTAGTTGGAATACTTAGTTTGTGGTTTGCTTCCTGAAGTCCCTGATCCTGCCCTGACTTTGTATCCCTATCTCCTTGGGGCTGCTGCACCACTTTGCAGAGTTGGGTTCCTTAGTGCTGCTGATCTGTGTTTGCCCCTGACTCAGATGCTGGGGGAAGGAACCCTTCACTTTTACCTTTATCCTAAACACAAGCCATGAGAGGTTCACAAAGAGTTTGGTTGGTAGAATAAAACTTGGGACTCAGGAAGCCTGGCTGAATTTCATAATAATAGAATATAAAACAGGGTCTAATGTTGCTGTACTTGCAGATGTACTCAGAAATCGCTGACTTCAGTGGAACTATAGCCGTAGCAGTGTAAGGACAAGCATTTTGTTGAAAAAAATGCTATTTTTTGTTACAGCAGAGGTGAAAAAACAGCCCCTGGTGCTGTTGTTGCCTCTCAGAGTCCCATAGAATTTGGGAGAGGGTTTCACCCCCCAAGGAACATTTAAAGCATATTTGTACCATTATCCCACCCCAGGAAATTCCTCGTTTAAAACTAGAAGTGTTTTGGGTTTTTTAATGTCCCTCATAGCCCGAGAAGGTGTTGGGGGCGGGGGTAGTGGCATGTTTTGTCTCCCAAGGAATTATGTCATCCGTGTCCAACTCTCCATTTCTAAGCCAAAGAGCCGGTGTTGTCCGTAGACACCCCCAAGGTCATGTGGCCGGCATGAGTACATGGAGCACTGTTACCTCCCACTGGAGCAGTACCTATTAATCTACTCACATTTGCAGGTTTTCAAATTGCTGGGTTGGCAGAAGCTGGGGATAACAGTGTGAGCTCACTTCACTACTCGGATTCAAACCAGGGACCTTTCAGTCAGCAAGTTAATCAGCTCAGCAGTTTAACCCACTGTGCTTACCCTTGAATTAATAGCATGCAATATAGAGTATGCAGATATCATATATATATATATATATATATATATATATATATATATATATATTGTTCATACTCAGACTATTTGAGGACGGCAGTCACTTTGCAGGTCTAAAAACCAAAACACCAAGATTTTTTTGTTGCTAGGTTGTGTGATTTTTTTTTTATCAAACTGATTAAAATGGGAAAAAGAAGAAGTCCTAGAATAGCTTTATTGTCATTATATAATAGTAAACAACTGGAAAAGAGGACAAAGATGTGATAACAGACTTATTAACAATAGCAAGACTGCTTATAGCAAGGAATATAAAAACAGAAGAGTAAAATAAGGAAGTATGGAAATTTTCAATAAATGACAAACTGACATGTAAAATTAAAAGTTAAAAGAGTTAAAGCCCTAAACGGTTCCGGCCCAAGCTACCTATCTGACCTCATCTCTGCCTATGAACCCACCAGGAGTTTGAGATCTTCCGGGGAGACCCTGCTCTCGATCCCGCCTGCTTCTCAAGCTCGGCTGGCGGGGACGAGAGATAGGGCCTTCTCGGTGGTGGCTCCTCGGCTGTGGAACGCCCTTCCTACAGACATTAGACTAGCACCATCTCTAATGGTATTCCGCAAAAAGGTGAAGACCTGGATGTTTGTGCAGGCGTTTGAGTAATTTAGTGCAATCTGGTAATGGAACATAGGAATGGAACAATGGACGACGAACCTGGACTACGCTTGGATGATGAGAAGATTGGGTACGGTTTTTTTTTGTAATAATTGTGCATTGTAATTGCTTATTGGTAATTTATGGATAATGTGTTAAGTCAATTGTTATATGTTGTATGGAACCACTGCTGTTTCTACTGTTTTTACTGTTTGTGAACCGCCGTGAGTCGCCTTCGGGCTTGAGATACAGCGGTATATAAGCAAAGTAAATAAATAATAAATAAAGTAAATAAATAAAAGAGGGATTTGGAAACAAAGTGATTTTGATGTATGGAAAAAAATATTGAAAGAGGATTCAAAAAGAAAGATGGACAATTACCGCCACAAGAGGAAATGAAAATTTGGACAGATGATATATAAAAGGAGTGGCTCAGGGAGAGGGGAACATGGTGGTGAGGGATAGAAAATATGTATAAGCATAAAAATAATAGTAGATGCCAAAAAGATAATGTATTGTAGATTGTACTGAATATTATGTATCTGCTGTAAAACAAATGATGTATAACAAATGTATTAAAATATGATAAAATAAATAAATCTTTTTTAAAAATGGGAAAAGGAAGAAATAGAACCTGCGATTCTTTGTAACGTTGGCCTTCCTTATCTGCTTTTCATAGATAAACCCTCCAACAATGGGATTTTTAAAGAAAGGTGTGACTCACCTCTATTCAGCGACAGCTTAACCGAAGAGGAGAAACCACTGGACATTCAGACGGTAGAAATTTCCACCACAGAAGTCCAGGCTGTGGAGGTTCATGACATAGAAACACAGACCATTTCTCCAGAGAAGCTGGAAGCAGAGGAGGCTGTGGAAATCCCAGTGGAAAGCTGCAAAGTGCATGAAAAGAATCCCTCTTTGAACATTACTATTCAGCCGAAATGGCCTTTGCTGAGGGCCAACAGCAGTGGTTTATACAAATGCGACCGGTGCACATTCAACAGCAAGTACTTTTCAGATCTAAAGCAGCACATTGTTCTGAAGCACAAGACGTGCTCAGAGGGCAATATCTGCCAAGTGTGTAAGGAGAGTTTCTCCTCCAAAAAGGGGCTTATTGAACACTTAAAAGTTCACGAGGAAGACCCTTACATTTGCAAATACTGTGATTACAAAACAGTAATGTTTGAAAATCTGAGCCAACACATTGCGGACACTCACTTCAGCGACCACCTCTACTGGTGCGAGCAATGTGATGTCCAGTTCTCCTCCAGCAGCGAGCTGTACCTCCATTTCCAGGAGCACAGCTGCGATGAGCAGTACCTCTGCCAGTTCTGTGAGCATGAAACCAGTGACCCAGAGGACCTGCACAGCCATGTGGTGAATGAACACGCAGGGCGGTTGATCGAGCTGAGCGACAGCTACCACAGCCGGCAGCAACAAGGGCAGTACAGCCTGGTCAACAAAATCAGCTTTGACAAGTGCAAGAACTTCTTCGTGTGCCAACTCTGCGGCTTCCGCAGCAGGCTTCACACCAATGTCAACCGCCACGTGGCGATCGAGCACACCAAAATATTCCCACACGTGTGCGACGACTGCGGGAAGGGCTTTTCTGGTATGTTGGAATACTGCAAACATTTGAACACTCATATGTCTGAAAGGATTTATTTGTGTCAGTATTGTGAGTATTCCACAGGGCAGATTGGAGACCTCAAAATTCACCTGGACTTCCGACATTCAGCTGAGCTGCCTCATAAGTGCACCGAATGCTTGATGAGGTTTGGCAATGAAAAAGACCTTTTACGTCACCTTCAGGTGCATGAAAATGCTTGATTGTTATAGTAGTGCATTTTTGCCTTCAAGTAATTCAGAATATTAGAACTTGTGATGTAATTTCGACATATGTTATCCTAAAGTCAAACTGCAAATGAATCGTTCCTTATGTCACTGGGAGAAAGTCACTTTAGGTACAGCCACAGTTATAACGTTGCTATACTTGTGTTTAATAATAAAATGGAAATCATTACATTCATAGTATTGTGGTATCATGGGGTTAATGTAAAGTGGTAGATGTGAACACCCACATGTGCAGACACATAGCGTCCTTGACATTTTCAGGCCTTTCGCAGATTGTTCAAGCTGTACGAGACTTCAAGCTCAACAGATTGTTTCATCTCTACAAATTTTGGATTCATGGATCAGGTTTTCTGGAAAAAAGCAGAAACTATTTGTATTTTTGCTGTATGTCAATCTATTATTGTGATGTTGATTTCTGAAGACAACCTATTATAATGTGCTTTGATTACCTATGAAGGGAAATAAAAATAAATGTCCTCAAAAAGATGTACATCATTTGTATTCATAGTGTTGTTACTAATACATGCAGTCCCCAAGTTACGGACAGGATAGGTTGTGTAGTTTTGTTATTTTGGATAGCATAAGGAAGGGTTAAAACCCATGTAACTTGTTTTGCTGTCTGTTCCTCTGTTCAGAAGATTTTACCTCACTTTCTGTCTCTGAGAATTGGATTTTGAAAAAAAAATGGCTTGTTGTGGAAACAAGGATTGGTGATAAAGCCTCAGGGGAGACACCTTTTCCCCCTGATAATAACTCTTCCAAGAATGAATTTCCCATCCTTGGAGTAGATTTCTCTCACTTCCTGTTGTCTCACCCTTACTCTTAACTATGACTTGTTTGTAAGTCAGATGTTTGTAACTCAGGGACTTCTTGTAAGCAACAATGGGAAGATGATGGAGGTTATCTTGATTTTCAAAGTAAACCAGAGTCTTGTATTGTTTTAAATGTCAGTCAATTTCCATGCTAAAATTCACATCAGTGTAATATACAAAATGGTATGAAATATTTGGAACTTTTCATCAGTGGCTAGATCAGAAAAACAGGAAAAATGAAAAGCTTGTATTCAACCCATCTATTTCTGATTACATTATAAAAGAAGGGGGAGGGGCAATATTCTAGTCAAGCTTTGCAGAGTTAATTCAAAGTTCAGAGTTTTAATTGGGTCAATGTGAAGATATGGCAAAAATGCAGGTTTGGTTAAGGGCAATTTGTATGTAACGGCTTTAAACATTCAGGGGTGATATCTGAATTTCAGCCCAAAGGTTGGGGAAAATTGTAGACTTTCAGCTAATGCAGTTTGAGAGTTAACAGGAAGTTGTGCCTTCATCACTCACACCATGTAATGTCAGTTTGATAAACACATTCTTTTAAAATCTGGTTTAGTTGCTTTCCTGTTTCATACTTGCCTCTTTAGTGAGTGCCATCCTTCACTTCCTCTCTCTCTCTCTCTCTCTCTCTCTCTCTCTCTCTCTGAGGTCAGGCTGCATTAAGGAGTTCAAGACAGACATTCCCTTTTAAGAAAAGGACATCACTGATGCGGTCAAAACACTTCAGATTACAAAATTGCCAATTTATAATGATGTTTGGGGAAAGCTTTTAGAACAGAAGTGCAGCTGAATAAATGGTGTCGGACTAAACACTTCAGATAGCAAAAACGCCAAATTATGATGATGTTTGGGGAAAGCTTTTAGAACAGGAGTGCAGCTGGACAGATAGAGTTGGACTATCAATCCCAGCATCAACTGCTAGCAAGGACTGGTGGGACGGTCAAATATCTGGATAGCTTCATGACTCCTACTCACATTCAGAATCTAGAATAACTACTGTGTCTGAACCATTAGTAAAAGTTTCTTTGTAACTGCTGTCACTAGAAAAGACGAAAGCATTTGTTTATGGTTTATTGTCAAGTTGTGACATTGAGAACGTGTTGTTTTTATACTTATGAATCCAATGAAGCCTACAACTGCCTGCATTTCCATTTTATTTAAGCCTCAAATTTAGGATAGAAAAATGTGTGAAATATTACCTGTATGTTTTTTAGAAGTGTGTTCCAGTGTGTCAGAGACATTTTACTTTGCGCAGAATGCACATAGAATTGCCGTCTTAAATAATATTTGATTACACAAATTATTTTGTCTGAATAAAGTGTGGTGGATGAACCTTTGGAGGCTTTTAAACAGAGGCTGGATGGCCATCTGTTGGGGATGCTTTGAACGTGATTGTCCTGCTTCTTGGCAGGAGGTTGGACTGGATGGCCCACGAGGTGTCTTCCAGCTCTATGATTCTATGAATAGACATTGAACCCAAAGCTTTCAAAATGTTTAGGATGGCATTTACTCTTGAGTGTAATGTTTTGTAATGAAACATGGGGTAGATTTGTGAATAAGGCCTGAAATGGAAAATAAAAATGCACATTTATGTTGTCATTACATTTTTGATCTATGGGTCTAAATACTTTATTTAAAAAATATTAGTTTAAAAATGTTAATACAAAAGAACAAACTAGCCTAAAATGTGTGAGCCTTTACATTTCCAGACTTCAGTGATGCATAGAAGTTTCTTCAGAATGGAAAGATGTTCCAGCTGGTAACAAAATTGCAGGTGTTGATGGAATTTCAGGCAAATTGTGTGAATTCACAAAACATTTCAGCCATAGGAGCATAATGTATAATGATTCAAAACAAAAGTTTCCTATCTTAATTTTAACAGCAGTACTCAGATCTGGAATATGTAAAATAACGAGTGTATGTATATGTAAAATACACTTGAATTTTTGATGTGGGTTAGTTTCTTTTAAAATCAAGAACATTGTGCTTCTATTGTACAACTGCCATTGGAGCACAAAAGATACACCTGCTACACATAGGACAACCTTCTGCCCCAACACTTAAGCAAACCAATGCCTATCTACTCAGAAGCAATCCCTGTGGCTTGTGCAAGATCACTGACTGGTATCGACTGCTTCCCTTAAAAAATGGCAAACATTCAAGACATTCTGGATACTGTATTGTCGAAGGCTTTCATGCCCGGAATCACTGGGTTGTTGTAGGTTTTTTCGGGCTATATGGCCATGTTCTAGAGGCATGCTCTCCTGACGTTTCCCCTGCATCTATGGAAAGCATCCTCAGAGGTAGTGAGGTCTGTTGGAAATAGGAAAATGGGTCCATATATCTGTGGAAAGACCAGGGTGGGACAAAGAACTCTTGTCTACTGAAGCTAGGTGTGAATGTTGGTGGTCAGTTGACAAAGGATTCCCCCAGGCATCAACCAGCCAGACTTTGAAGCTGCAAGGCCATCCAGTGATCAAGGTGGCCAATTGCAGCAACCACACCTGCCTCAAGCAGACAAGAGTTCTTTCTCCCACCCTGGACATTCCACAAATACATAAACCCCATTTTCCTAGTTTCCAACAGACCTCAAAACCTCCGAGGATGCCTGCCATAGATGGAGGCGAAACATCAGGAGAGAATGCTACTGGAAAATAGTCATACAGCCCTGAAAACTCACAGCAACCCAATGATTCCGGCCATGAAAGCCTTCGACAAAACATTAACGCAATCCTCCCTAAGTATAGTGATTCTGCCTCATCCAAGTTTCCCTTTCTCTGCATCTTTTGCATGGCAGCTGTCAAATGGCAACCGGAAGTATCGCCCGCATGACATCGCTTCCTAACTCTATGGGAAGAGTTAGGAAGCAGGGAACGCGAGGACCGTCCTTGAGGATTTGTGACGCAAGCGCGACTCAGCCTGGAGAAGAAAGGGGCGGAGTTATCTTCCTGCGCACGCGCAGTTGGAAGAAGGGAGGCTTTGCTGCCCGGAGTCAAGATGGCGGAAGCGGGTGAGTGAAGCATAGGAGGAAGGCGCTGCTCAGAGGCGGAAGTGGGAGCTGCTGGAGCTGAGAGGAGCCGTTGCCAGGTGAGGGGAGGCGGAGGGCTTAGTTAGGTAACAACTTCGCATGTATTTCTACGTCTAGAGCAGGCCTGGGCCAACCTGGGCCCTCCAGGTGTTTTGGACTTCCACTCCCACAATTCCTAACAGCCTACCGGCTGTTAGGAATTGTGGGAGTTGAAGTCCAAAACACCTGGAGGGCCCAGGTTGGCCCAGGCCTGCTCTAACTATACTAAACCTTCTTCTTCTTGCTATGTACTATTTTCCATACAAAGCTTGATATGTTTTCACAGACCTGCAGATCTTAACAACTTTCTAAACATGTATGTAAATTTTATAGGAATCTGGAGTTTTAAATTCAAAAACATGACCTCTCTGGTTTTTGTTCAATCACGTAGTAGTTTCTTTTAACAAATGTCAGTCATCATAGGTAACTTAATGAATTTGTCATCAAAATTAGTAATGACATTTGTGAACAATCTGTGTGTAATGCATTTTTGTGGGGGTTTTTTCAAATTCAGCATCCAACAATCCAACAAAAACAGCTACAGTACTATTCAAAGGAGTTATTGTAATCACGGTCCTGGGAAATATTATTTCATCTGAATTCAGTGCTCTCTCCACTCATCAGCTATAGTAACTTAGGCTCCTTCCACACAGCTGAATAAAATCTCACATTATCTGCTTTAAATTGGAATATATTGTATGTACATATATATATTCTATGCATGTATAACTTGTCGAATTGACACCAGATTTGGAAACAAGACATCTAACAACCCAATGTATGTCCTTCACTCAAAAAAATTGATTTTGTCCTTTGGGAGTTGTAGTTGCTGGGATTTATAGTTCACCTACAATCAAAGAGCATTCTGAACCCCACCAACGATGGAATTGAACCAAACTTGGCACACAGTTCTCCCATGACCAACAGAAAATACTGGAAGGGTTTGGTGGGCAGTGTCCTTTGTTTTGGAGTTGTAGTTCACCTACATCCAGAGATCACTGTGGACTCAAACAATGATGGATCTGGACCAAACTCTACACGAATACTCAATATGCCCAAATGTGAACACTGGTGGAGTTTGGGGAAATAGAATCTTGACATTTGGGAGTTGTAGTTGATTGGATTGATAGGATTTATAGTTCATTCTGAACCCCACCAACGATAAAATTGAACCAAACCTCCCACACAGAACCCCCATGTGGGCCACAGCAATGCGTGGCAGGGGCAGCTAGTCTTATATAAATACAAATGTAATGTTTGTTAGTGGGATTAACATAACTCTAAAACCACTGGACAAATTGACACCAAATTTGGACACAATGCACCTATCAGGCCAACAAGTGACCATCACTCATAAAAACACTGTAAAACACAACAGAAGAAACTTAAAAAAAACAAAAATTGCATTACCACGCATGCACAAAACCATATGCGCAAACACACATATACACATATATACACAAAACACATATACACAGACTGGGCTACAGCAACGCATGGCAGGGGACGGCTAGTGTGTGTGTGTGTGTATATATATATATATACATGTACGCAAACACATATATACACAAATATATACAGACTGAGCCACAGCAATGCATGACAGGGGACTGCTAGTGTGTGTGTGTGTGTTTGTATGTATATAATATGTATAACACACACATATATGCATATAGGTTGCACATATAACTTGTAAGCCGCTCTGAGTTCCCTTCGGGGTGAGAAGGGCGACATATAAATGGCTTAATTAATTAATATATAACAGTGTGGACTCAGATAACCCATTTCAACGCACATATTGTGGGATTTTTTGCCTTAATATTCTGAGTTATATGGCTGTGTGGAAGGGCCCATCGAAATGTAAATTTAGTGTATTTGGCAGCTGGAAATGCCACAGTCTTCACATCTGCTCCAGGGGGAAAACCTCAAAAAGAAAAAAAGAAAACTGCTTCTCTCTTTTATCTCGCCCGAGTTTTTAATTAGTTTTAATCAGTCTATCTTTTAATCATTACATGTAGCACACCCATTATTACTGTGCCTGTGCATATTGTAATTTCTATTTTGTTATGTATTCATATGTTTTATGTAACTATGATGTTATTGTTTACTGTTCGCGTTTTCGATTTGTGTTATGGTTTTTCTTTATTGTAATTGTCATTTGGGCTTGGCCTCATGTAAGCCGCTCCGAGTCCCCATTGGGGAGATGGTGGCGGGGTATAAATAAAGTTTATTATTATTATATCAAAGGAGCACCCACACGTTGACCCCAAAGGCGCTTTGATAAGCATAATTTGGTACATTGGTAGACCATTTTCTCATTAATCTTTATTTTTGGAAAGCTCACACTGTTTCCTGGCTGGAAACCTGTCTTAGAAAAGATTCAGCTTAGTTGGGATCAAACTGGGCCAGGTCAACTATTTTCAGGCCTTCAATTGAGACTCGGCTGAGTGAGTTTGTTACAGCAAAAACAAAAAGATGTTGGCAGTGTTTTAAAAATTAACAAACTGAAAGTTGCGTAACTCAAAAGGGAAAGTCTAGCATAACACTGTTGAATTCTTGGGGAGTTTTGAAACTATCAGACATCTATTTATGTATTTGGTCTTTTTTACAGTTATATCTTGTATTTTCTCCAACTTAAGGCAATTTATGTAACTCCCCTCCCCATAGTGTTCTCATGACAATCCTTTTAGGTAGGTTGGGCTGATGGCCATTCAGTGAGTTACATAATTTGATTGGGATTAGCACCTCAGTCTTCCAAATCCCAGGCTAAAACTCTAGTCACTGTATTACACTAGCTCTGGCTACTTTCTTCCATAAAGTTTTGGCTACTCTTTAAACTTCAGTCTTTAGAGGTCTGGCTTTAACTTGTGTACTCTTTACCTTTGGGAATGATCCTTATTTCCTCTGGATCTCTTCTGAATGGATCTTACTTGTTGTTTCCATAATAGAATGATAGTCTCTAATTTTACTGCTGGGGTTTAGGGCTTAATTTGGAAGTAGATACGTCAGTGAAATGAAAATGTAGTACTCTAGCATCTGTGGAAATGGCATCTGGATCATAAAAGCATGTGTTTCAATAAACATGTTGTGTTTTAAAGATGGTTTTCTGTTTTATAAAAGTTACTTTACACTGGAGTGCTTATATTTCTACACCTATATGCCAGATTAGTGCACACAGTTGTGTTTGAATAGATTCAAAATATGTAAATGTATGTAAAGGATAAGGATGCTCTGGAGAATATACTTTCCTAACACTGGCTATAATGCCATAAACACTGCAATTAACTTTTCACTTTTGAAAAACAACGCAGATTTTGGCTTAGAACGGGTGTCCTATGGGATACAAAGTTTAAATGATTTGTTTGCTTTACAAGCAAAGGACCTCCATGTTGTTGTATAACTCTGATTTCGATCCCCTCCTTTTATTTATAACCAGCCCTATCTCCCCTTTTAGATAAAGTAGAAAAGAACAGCAGTGCGCTGAGGTCCAGCTTGACATGTCAACAGCCTAACTCAATTCTCACCTGCCTTTACACATACAGTGTAACTGCTCAAGGACAGAATAGGTTTACCCTGCATTGCAATTTAAGACTATATAACTAAACAATTGTCCTTTGTTTTGTTTTTTTCTTTGATGCAACTCTAAGTTTACTGTGAGAACAATCCTATATAGTTATGTGTAAATCTAGAAAATTTAGTCAAAAATAAACTAAAACCTGGGTCACCTAACCCACGGGTCAGTGTAAGTACTGTACCTGAGCTCTTCTCGAAAATAAGGAAACATCTTCTCCTCTGAGTAGAGTGGGAAAAGACAAGAGCTTATTCTATCATGGGAAAACCTAGCCGAAGCACTGACTCTTCCTACTCTCTCTACCATGGTGTCATTTCTGACCTTTTTGAATATCTGGATGGGGAAACAATGGCAGCCAGACCTCCTACATATGGAGAGGCTTCTTTAATGATGTGTGGAAATTTCAGTGTTTGTTTCCCCACTATAAGGAAGATGTCTGTTATCAGAAATATTCTCCTTGCCTTCTATAAATAAATATGCACTCATAAATGCTTGAAGTAATGATCTCCCTGTAGCATATTAAGTTGCTCATAAATTTAAAATAATTGTTTACATGTACAAAATTTCCTAAGCAAACTCCACTAGGAACAGCAGCAATGGAGTCTCAGCTTTAATCTCTCATTCTCCTGTTGAGAGGAGACATCTTGAGTCTTCTCATGACTAGCATTATGGGAAGTTCTGGAACTTTCTTTCTTTCTTTGTCCAGGGACATCAGCCCAGACATGTTACTTCTTATGGTGTGTGTAAATGACATAGAAATTACATTCCAGTTGATATGAATCAAGACATCAGCCCCATTTGTTGAACGTACTTGGACTTGCTTGGATTGGCAGGCAATTTTCTTTATTACTGCTAACTTTTACACAATTTTCTTTTTCAGCTTCATGATGGCAGACGCTAATCCTTCTCCGTTAAGACATTTTGTGCTGGCTAAGAAGAAGATTACAGCCATTTTTGAAGAGCTACTGGATTATGTTACTGAAGGAACACATTTTGTTGAAGGTTGGTTTTAATTGGTGGGAATAGGAGATCAGTTGTTTTGTTGCACTAGGAAAATGTGTGGAATCATAACTTGTTACGTCATAGCATCAATTAGACGTTATCTAAAAAGTTTCACTGTCATGTGTGATAATAGGTTCTGTCTCACTTGTAATATGACAGGATGAAAGGCAGTATGACAATTTAGGGGAGGGGGCAAGTTGGTGAATTTGTTTTGAGGCATTTCATCACACACTGAAATTGATCCATCAGTTGTTTGTCATTCCATAATACCTACTGTCCCATTTCTGATTTTTCCACAATTTTTCTTTCCTTACTTTTCAAATCTTTGGCAAGCAGCATGGTTGTTGTTGTTTTTTTAAAAAAAAATGCTTTTTATTATAATGGTATTCATCAAAATAAACTTACTTTATATACATCCTTAAACCATTACATTTTTGGCCCCTTTTTTCCCTCCCCTCCAACTTTACAACAAAGCATTTTTTAAGTGCAGCCAGTCCAGGATTCTGTCCATTTTTTCCTTTATCTCAGTGGTTCTCAACCTTCGTAATGCCGCGACCCCTTAATACAGTGCCTCACGTTGTGGTGACCACCAACCATAAAATTATTATTATTGCTACTTCCTAATTGTAATTGTGTTACTGTTATGAATCATAATGTAAATATCTGAAATGCAGGATGTATTTTCATTCACTGGACCAAATTTGGCACAAATACCCAACAACAGCGCTCCATGCTGTCATGTCAGCCACATGACCTTGGAGGTGTCTATGGACAACACCGGCTCTTTGGCCTAGAAATTGAGCACCAACTCCCAGAGTTGGACACGACTGGACTTAATGTCAGGGGAAAACTTTTACCTTACGTTACCCAATATGCCCAAATTTGAATACTGGTGGGGTTGGAGGGAAAATTGATTATGTCATTTGGGAGTTGTAGTTGCTGGGATTTATAGTTCACCTACAATTAAAGAGCATTTTGAACTCCACCAATGATGGAATTGGACCAAACTTGGCACACAACTCCCATGACCAACAGAAAATACTGGAAGGATTTGGTGGGCATTGACCTTGAGTTTTGGAGTTGTAGTTCACCTTCATCCAGAGAGCACTGTGGACTCAAACAATGATGGATCTGGACCAAACTTGGCAGAATACTCAATATGCCCAAATGTGAACACTGGTGGAGTTTGGGGTAAATAGACCTTGACATTTGGGAGTTGTAGTTGCTGGGATTTATAGTTCACCTGCAACGAAGAGCCCTCGCCTGCTCCGCACCCTTGCCTGCTGGCGGGAGAGCAAAACAGGTGAGGGCGCCTGGCGCAAGGCCTTGTGCCAAAGGCCCCCGCCTGCTCCGCACCCCTGCCTGCCGGCGGGAGAGCAAAGCAGGCGAGGGCGCCTGGCGCAAGGCCTTGCACCAAAGGCCCCCATCTGCTCCGCACCCCTGCCTGCCGGCGGGAGAACAAAGCAGGCGAGGGGCGCCCAAGGAGCAGCTCGCCCATCCCTCACCTCCTTCTGCCATCAGAAGGAGATGAGGGACAGGCGGATGGCTTCGCGCGCGGGAGTGCCGGTGGCTCAGGGGGTTGGCCGCCATTTTGGAGGGGGCGTGGCCAGCCAATGCGGCTTCGCGACCCCCAGAAAATGGCCAAACGACCCCCCGAGGGGTCGCGACCCCCAGGTTGAGAACCGCTGCTTTATCTGATCATTAGCTTTCCCTTCTTCAACCCATTTCAAATATCTTAACCAGTTCTCTTTGTATTTTTATAGACCGTGGTATATCTTGTTATATTATTCCCATAATATCCGATTGTACTTATTCATAAGTATATTAGTTCCACCTGTCCATTGTTCATTTTTTCTTATCCTTCTATCCTAATGCTATTACAGAATGGGCAGCTTTAACCATCGCCATCAAAGTTTGTTGGTCTTCTTTCTTCAGCTTTTGTAGGCCCAACGTTCCAATTTCTAACATTTCCGGCCCAATGTGCAAATTTACCTTGAATAGCCCATTTATTTGTTCTAATACCCTCTTCCAGAATCTCTGCACTTCCTCACATTCCCACCACATATGTCTAAACCATCTCCTCCCCTTTTTACAATGCCAACAGTTTGAGCTGGACCCTTTTAATCATACATGCTAACTGAGCTGGGCTTCTATACCACTTTAGATTTATTTATTTATTTATTATTTAAACTTATATGCCGCCACTCCCCTGGGGCTCGGAGCGGCTTACAAGAATAGCTAAAATCTAACAAAGTTTAAAAGCAATTTAAAACAATTTAAAAACAGCAGTATCAAACATTAAAAGCCTGTCGGAACAGGTATGTCTTCCATGCCCTGCGGAAAGCTGACAAGTCCCGCAAGGCACGGACTTCAGGTGGCAGAGTGTTCCAGAGCGATGGTGCCACTGCTGTGAAGGCTCTGCGTCTGGTTGCTGTTAGACGCAAGGTCTTGACACTGGGAATTTCCAATAGATCTTGGTCCTCAGAACGGAGGGATCTCTGGGGTTGGTAGGGGGTGAGGCGGTCCCTCAGGTACATCGGCCCCAGACCATGCAAGGCCTTAAAGGTGAGTACCATCACTTTGAAAGTGATCCGGTGCTCAATTGGTAACCAATGCAGCTGTAGTAAGATTGGTGTTATGTGGCATCTCATCGGAATTCCCGCAAGAAGCCGAGCAGCAAAAGATAAATCTTTTGTACTAATTCTTGAAACTTTTCCATTTTAATGGTACTTAACCCCTTCATTATCTTTTCCTGGTCGCTACATGCACAATGGAGGACCTTCTTGCAGCAACACCAGAGGCACTCCAAGTGGCCAGATACTGGTCAAAGGACATTTACTCAACTATCAAGCTTGCAAACTTTGTGTTTTGTCTATTTGTTTGTTTGTTTTGTTCTGTTAGAAATGTAATACAATTGTCTGGTTCATCCTCAAACAAGCTATATAATGGTGACCATTTAGATAATGTGGGGATCCATTACTTTTGCTATTTTCCCCATATTATAAAAGCTGAACTTCCTTTTATATTCCCTTTTATATTCTTACTAAAAAATACCAGCTTTTCCTTTACACCCATTTCTTTCATTTTCTATTCTAATCCATTTTTGATTTCTCTTATCTATTTCTATTAAATACTTCAACTGAAAAGCTTCATAATACGCTTGTTGATCCCAGCCCAGTTGATCCCTTCTTGCATAGACTATTTTCTGAGCCACTCTGGCTTTCTTTCCTTCAAATACCCATTCTCGTAACTCTTATCCCACTGAGCAAGCAGCATGGTCGTAGCCCTATTAACTGTCATTAGTTAGCTGCTCTGACATCACAGAAGGTCTGAACTAAATTTGATTAGGACATTGCGTGCATTGGATGACAAATTCAAGTAGCAAGGTCCTTCAATTATTTTTGATAAATAGAGCATATTTACATCAGGGATGAGCATAGTGCAGCCCCAGGGCTATTTTTCTGGCTCTCAAACCTCCCAGATGCGCCTGGAATACTCTTTCGAGGAGTTGTTTCACATTTTAAATAAGCATCAAGACCCTCCTGCTCTGTTTAATATCAAAATACATTGAGTCTTTTAGAATGAGAAGTGTATTGTGATGCTTCTGAGGCCAGAATAATGGCCTACGTATCTGCCAAACTTGACTCACTGTGGTTTAATTAATTTGGGAGACTTCAAAAGTTGGTGCTTTTGGATTCTTCCAGTGAAAACATACACATAATTTTCCTGGCTTATAAAAAGGAATAATGTGGTAAAAATTCTCAAGTGCTTTTCTGTAAGGGAAATAAATCTAGAAGAGAATAAATGCGTTTTTCTTGCATAGAAGAAATGAATAATTGTTTCTCTTCATCTTGGGAATTCTGGGTAGGATTTAAGTGTTGCTTAGCGGTAGCCCTAGGAAATCATGCTGTGACTTGGGGGTAAGAAGAGTGAGTAGGTATTAGGTTATGAAGTCAGGGGAATTGGGATCATTTCTGAGGAATCTTTGAATTGCAATAAAATCAACCTGGAACCCTTGTTAATAATAATATATAATATTAATAAATCTTTATTTATATGCTGCTTTTCTCTCACAGTGGGGACCCAAAGCAGCTTCTAACATGTTAAAAATACCATGCAAAATCAAACAACAGTCAAACATATAAATAATAAACATTGTAAGCAATCAAAGAAGAAACATAAATAGGCATTTAAAACAATATACACTATTGTACTGTCCTGTCATATTTTATTGCACTTAGCACCGCCCTGTAATGATTGAATCTTCAGCGTAAGGTTTGTTCACTGAAGGCTTGTTTGAGTAGAAAAATTTCCAGCTGTTGCTTGAATGATAGTAGGAAGAGTGCCATTTTGATCTCCTTGAGGGTATACCAGAGCTGCAGTGTAGCCACTGAGAAGGCTCTCACTACCATCACCATCAACCAATTTGGTATGGTGACGGAAGTGAGAGTAGGGCTTCTCCTGATGATCTTAGGCTTCAGGCAGGTTGATATGAAGTGATGTGGTTGGATAAGTAAGTTGGACCTGAATTGTTTAGGGCAGTGGTTCTTAACCTGTGGGTCCCCAGATGTTTTGGCCTTCAACTCCCAGAAATCCTAACAGCTGGTAAACTGGCTGGGATTTCTGGGAGTTGTAGGCCAAAGCACCTGGGGACCCACAGGTTGAGAACCACTGGTTTAGGGCTTTAAAGGTCAAAACCAATATCTTGAATCAGTAGTGCTGTAAGCAGGTGTGTAGAAGCATGAAAGAGTTCAACATATTATCATGTGCAGGTGTGTAGTTCAGTAGATCAAGGTTAATCTGCCAATCAGTGGAGTAATATGTCACTGGTCTTGCCAGCAATGAGCTTTAGGGATAATGAGACATAATGCTTTAAGGTCAAGTTGAGTTACTGGGACGAATACCTGGCTCACAACACCCCCCCCCCCCCCCCCCCCCCCCCCCCGGCCGCCTCAACAAATTTACCCTGTGTTATCTCATAAAATTAATGAAATGCTGTGGCAATGTTGTTAAATTATTTCTGTGTAATTATCCCATCTGATGACAGAAACGTACAAAAATCCAGAGCTGGAACATATAGTTACTGAGGATGAACTGGCAGAAATACAGACATATAAAAACAAATTGGCAATCATTGGTGAAGTTCTTGCACGGCGACACATGAAAGTAGCTTTCTTTGGCAGGTAAGTTTGTTTCTTTCCTGGACTAAACGAGTAAACGTGTCCCTTTTGGGCGCAACCAGATTCCTGCTGATGAAATGAATAGTGAAAATCAGTTTTTTAAAGCATTTCACGTATATTATCTCGATGCACCTTAAGACAATTCTGTATGTATGCCAGTATTGTTATTCCATTATTGCAAAATACTGCCTTTCAGAATGTGCTGCATTTTTGTTTGCTCTTTTATTTTTCATACTCATGCTTTTAAGGTTTTTTATTAACTTACAATATCATGTTTAAATATAAGTACAATGATATTTCAAACTTTTTATGATACTAATTTTTCACTGTATCTGAATTAGGTTAATGATAATAATACAAGAACTGTGCGTATTCAAAGATGCCTAATGAAGTTATGGCAAATTAAGTCTGAAATGCAGACTGCCTCATTCACAGTTCACATTCATTTTATTGCTGCTAGTAAGAGATCAGTTGCTCAGTTAAGAATAAAAGAACCTTATCCTGAGACCGTTGTATATCTAGGCCAGTACTCAGACTGGCAATTGATCTTCAGGCAGGAATCTTTTCTAAGCCAATCTCAAATTGGAGGATTCAAAACTGTGCTAATATTGTCCTCCCTTCCCCTTTATAGGACCAGCAGTGGAAAAAGTTCAGTTATCAATGCTATGTTGTGGGATAAAGTGCTCCCAAGTGGCATTGGCCATACAACCAATTGTTTTCTTAGTGTGGAAGGAACGGATGGTGATAAAGCATATCTCATGACTGAAGGCTCAGATGAAAAGAAAAGTGTCAAGGTATGGAGTCCTTGTTGCTAATGAACTCATTACTGGAAGATCTTATTAAATGTGCCATGCATTTATTGTTGTCATGTGTCCTCAGGTCACTTCCAACTTATGGTGACCCTAAGGTGAAAGTAAGAAAACTTGAGATTGATTTAGACATGTGAAATATAAGTAATTCAGATGTTTAGAACTGTGTGAAAGCTGAGGATAAGCGGTAAAGCCTCTGTTCCAGGCTAGAATTCCACTCTTCATTCCACATTGAAACAGTTAGAAGGTAATACTAGATCAGGACAATCTCTAAGTCAGTGGTTCTCAACCTGTGGATCCCCAGGTGTTTTGGCCTACAACTCCCAGATATTCTTGTCAGTTTACCAGCTGTTAGGATTTCTGGGAGTTGAAGGCCAAAACATCTGGGGACCCACACTTTGAGAGCCACTGCTCTAAGTTATAATAGATTGGTAGGAGTCCTAACTGCTAGTTCCAAACAGCTGTTGCAGCATAGAATAATAATAATAATAATAATCTTTATTTGTACTCCGCTACCATCTCCCCAAGGGACTCAGTGCAGCTTACATGAGGCCAAGCCCACAGCACATCAATAAACAAAAGCAATAACAATAATAAATACAAAACAGTTAAAATAAACAGTTAAAATAAACTCAAAAACAGAAAATACACAATAAGCAATAAACAATAACAATATCAAAACATAGAATAAAAGAGTGGGAAGAGACCATATGGACCATCTAGGCCAGCCCCCAATCAAAGCATCCTGACAGATGGCCATCCAGGCTCTAAAAGCCTTCAATGAAGGGGCTTCCACCACACTCCAAGGCAGAGAGCAACAACTACCTCTCCCTCCTTTTTGCCTGAAATCATATTGTAGAAATATGGAAAGATGGTAGTAACCAGGAATATATTTCTTTGCATTAGGAATGAGTAGTGCTTAGTTCTAGTACTGAAAATATGTTCCTGGGCTCATAATCCTGTAAATAAGAGTGTATGCTTTTTTGCACCAGTTTTTTTTTTGTTTGTGGATCATTGAGGTTACTGGTTTTAAAAAAAGTAAATCCTGTGGGCCTGATGTTTTGGACTTCCCCGGTACAGGCAGCCCCCAAGTTACAAACAGGATAGATCCTGCAGGTTTGTTCTTAAATTGAATTTGTTTGTTAGTCGGAAGGGGTACATTTTTAAAGTGTAACACCAGTCATATATAGGCTTTGGAGAACACAGGGAAGTATTAACAACCCTGTGGTGTTTATTTTGCTGTCTGTGCCCCTGTTCAGAAGATTTCACTTCACTTTCTGCCCCTGACATCATTGGAGTTTGAAAAAAAATAGCTTCTTGTGGAAACAAAAAATGGTGATAAAGCTTCAGTGGAGGCCCCTTTTCCCCATGATAACTCTTTCAGGGGTGGATTTCCTTTCCTAAGGGTAGGTTTCTCTCACTTCCTGTTTTCTCACCCCTGTTCTTAACTATATGGCATTTGTAAGTCAGATGTTTGTAAATTGGGGACTGCCTGTACTACGATTGAAAGCCTAAAAGCAACGGCTCAGCCAAGTATCTTTAAAGTTCTCATTCTGTCTTAGTAGGCATTGACCTTTTTCTAACCTGTTAATTTCTTTGCAGACAGTTAATCAGCTTGCCCATGCCCTCCATATGGATAAAGACTTGGAAGCTGGGTGTCTGGTCCATGTGTTCTGGCCTAAGGCCAAGTGTGCTCTCCTGAGAGACGACTTAGTGTTGGTGGACAGGTACGGCCGCTAATCTAACTTCAGTGTATAAATGTGCCACGGGGCAATAGAGCTTCCTCTGAGCACTGTTTCCCTCTTGGCTGTACTTTCTCCTTGAAAGTCTAAGCTCCTGCATGCAATGTTGTCTGGGAGAAAACTGGAACAAGCGGAAGTCCCATGACTGAGCTTTAAAAAGTCTGTCTTGTACTTGGCAGAATTTTAGATTTGTGCTTGCACAACAACAAAAGCCAGAACAATGCAAAAACGGTCCCTGCCATTTCCAAGTTGTCCATGCTTTGCTTTTATAACACAGAAGCCTTGCCAGCTAGGTCAGGAGGAAGAATTTCCTGAGAGGGGTTTATGGAAAAAAAATGTTTCTAAAAAGGGACACATTCCAAAATGCTGTATTTGGCATCCTTAAACCCTAGTGAATTTATTATGGCATAACTGTTGTGGCCGAGAGCCTACTTGGCAACAACTGCTTTTGCTTAATCTTTACCCAGTTTGGTTCCTTTTTGTACTACTGTATTTCTGTTTTATAATATTTTCCTAGCAGTTTTTCAAGGAGGTTTTTTTTTTGTAATAAGTCATTGAAAGACTTTATTTTTACTTCAAAAGTAATTATGGTATATACTAGCACGAAGCAGCTCTCACTGTTCAGACACTGTAGGGATCCAATTTCAGACTGGATAATTAATGGTTTTGTGTCAGCAGCAGTATGTACTACTAATTTTTCAGGATTCTTGATGCCTGTGAATGTCAAGTAAAATTTGCTTACGAAAAAATGGTCTGAAAGAAGACTCTGTGTTGTGATTATTTTTTAATTCCTGTATTAATATCTCTTAGCTTTTGAGAACTATAGAAATGGGGCACTCATTGTATGAGTAGATTTTTGGATGGTGATATTTGCCCATTAGAAAGTGATTTTACAACACATTGAGATTAATCGGGTTCTATTGTGGATGTTGGGAGCTCACATGCCATGCATTTTCCTTACTCTTCTGTGTAAATACTAATGTATGATTACATTCCAGCTTTATGAGGTTGAGATGTGAATACTGTATGTGGCCAGACAAATTCTTTTCTCCTGCATTTTTGTGAGCCTTGAAGAATATTAACTCAATTGACTGGAAGTTGCACTCCAAAACCATAATTTTTTAAAGCTTTGATTAACTTAGCTTCTTGCTCCATCCAAATAAAAAAATATTATTAACAACTTTGGAAAATATCAGGATATTTATATTAATAATCGTCTTTATTTATATCCCACCACCATCTCCCCAAAGGGACTCAGGGTGGCTTACAAGGCACTCTAAGTGCTTTATAACGTAAATGGTACATGAGCAAAAAACAATTATCACATATAAAGTTACAAAACAAATGCTATCAACACATAAAATAACACAATTTAAAAATTTAACTCCAAACCAAGGTATATTATTTTATCTTGTTCCAAAGTCCAAATGGAAACTGTAGTAAATGTGTTATGTTTACATTTGTGTTATGCACATGAGAAAGGAGGAGCATGATCTGCTCTGCAAGAGAAAAAGGCACATTTCTATCATAACCTGATAAGATTGTATGACTTCTCTCTGACTTATTAAGGTGACATGTAGATTGTCCATATCCTACCACTTTTATTTTAAATTGGAAGTATGTTGCCACTTTGCTAAATAACATTCTGACTTTATTCTGCAGCCCTGGTACTGACGTCACCACTGAGTTGGATACCTGGATTGATAAATTCTGTCTGGATGCCGATGTCTTTGTTTTAGTGGCTAATTCTGAGTCAACTCTCATGAATACAGTAAGACATGGTTGTTTAGTGGTTCTATTTATTGGTCTTCCTTGTATCTCATTTTTCTTCAAAGTGATGAACATGGCCTTATCTTTAATTTTTAGCAAATGTGTGACGTTTATCATAAATCTGGAATAATGGAATCAAATCAAATGGAGTTGGTTTTTTTTGTTAGTATACACATGAAGGTAATGCACATTTTCAAATAATGAAATCATGACAACTTTAAGTGGGAGCTTTCTTTCTTTACTGTGCCCCTTTTAGCTTTCTATATTTGACACTCTTTCTGGTACTGAAATTAAAAAAGCTTCTGAAATATATGAGCCTCTTCCCTGCAATTGCTAAAAGTGGACAAATGTGCCGGTGTAGAGGCTGTACTTCTTCATCAAGGCCAGTATCTAAAGGACACATTATATCCGTATTTTGAACTTTATGAAAGTTGTAGGTGAAACTTAGGTTAATTTAAGGCAATATAAATTGTAGTTTCTTGGTGGAGCCCATTCCAAAGCAGTTCTCCAAATACATGGTTCCCAACCTTTGGTTCTCCAGGCATTTTAGACTTCAACTCTCAGATATCCTAGCCATTTTACCAGCAGTTAGGAATTGTGGAAGCTGAAGTCCAAAACATCTGAAGGACCAAAGTTTGGGAACCACTGTTCTAACAGCACTAACAGAATGATGGGACTTGCTGTATTGTTTAGTGGCCATCTTGACTTAATGATGCTGGAAAGTGAGAAATAATTACTGAAATTGCACCCTCAGAGCACTTGAATTTTTACCATGGCTGCTGACAGATACATTACAGCAGAAAATCTGTGTGTCACTTCAATATTCAGCTGTTTGTTTTTGAAATGAAGGTACAAATTAAAGACCAAAGGCGACATGATATTCTCGTGATTTGAGGAAATGAGTTCACCTTTATACAAAGAATTACTGGCCACAACTATCTTTTACAGACCCAGTTGTAAATTTTGTGTCCACTTTTGTTCTTTCTTTTTTTTTTCTTTTTAGGAAAAGCAGTTTTTTCACAAAGTAAATGAGAAACTTTCTAAACCGAACATCTTCATCCTCAATAATCGTTGGGATGCTTCTGCATCAGAGCCTGAATACATGGAGGATGTGAGTTGCATTTCTTATGTTACCGCTCTGTGTTAGATCCATACAGTGAGCCCTCTGATCTGCAGGATTTGGATCTGTAGTTTCAGTCAGCCAAACTACCAGTAGAAGTCTTGATGACATCACACTGCATACATCCCTATGTATCTTCACTGGGGGAATCCCTTAATGTGATGACATTGGTCACATAGATTTAACATACAGTATATACTCGAGTATAAGCAGAGTTTTTCAGCCCTTTATTTAGGATGAAAAAGCCCACATCAGCTTACACTCAAGTCAAAGTTATTTATCATTTTACTATGTTGTTGTTGTTGTTGTTGTTACATTTATTATTTTACTCTATGATTGCTATTATTACATTTACATTATTCTACTCTATTATTACATTTATTATTTTACTCTTTATTATTATTGGAAAGATACATACACACATTTACATTGAAGAAAGTTAGAATAATGGCTTAATCAGAGTTGGACAGTCTTATCTTTCATTACAGTTTTATGTAACTATTCAAAAACATTTCACCTACTGATGCCTCAATGTAATTTTTTGGTATGAATTTTTATTTTGAAATTTACTAGCAGCTGCTACATTTCCCCTCCTTGGCTTATACTCGAGTAAATATGTTTTCCAAGTTTTTTGTGGTAAAATTAGGTGCCTTGGCTTATATTTGGGTCAGCTTATACTCGAATATATGCGTATATCCCAGAGGTATAAGGCAGAAAGGTTACATACTGTATTTGCCAGCCATCCTATATCAATATGCGCCTTTTCCTTGAGAGACTAGGGCCCCTTCCACACAGCTGAATAAAATCCCACATTATCTGCTTTGAACTGGAATACATGGCAGTGTGGACTCAGATAATCCAGTTCAAAGCAGATATGGTGGGATTTTCTACCTTGATATTCTGAGTTATTTTCTACCTTGATATTCTGAGCTGTGTGGAAGGGCCCTAGATCTTTATAGTTGAATTCCCCATTCCCCTTCTATAAACTGATGAATCCTGAGGTGTTTCTGCCACTGCCTTTCTGCAGGTACGCAAGCAACACACAGAGCGCTGTCTAACATTCCTGGTGGATGAACTCAAAGTTGTGGGTGCTTCTGAGGCCCGGAACCGAATCTTCTTTGTTTCAGCAAAGGAAGTTCTTAGCGCTAGAAAGCAGAAGGCCCAGGGAATGCCTGAGGGAGGTATGTGGGGGTATGAGGGGGTCCTCTTTATCCAGGGTTGTGTTTCTTAGCAGTTCACGTTTTTTTAAATCCTTGAACTTTAAAGCATATGCATTTTCTGCATAGCTCCAGACAATCTATGTTCTGTTTTGTGCTTTTTAGGTGCTGCACTTGCTGAAGGGTTTCAGACACGTTTCCAAGAGTTTCAACATTTTGAGAAGATCTTTGAGGTACATTTTGTGAACGTCTAAACCAGTTGTGTTTATGGGGTGGCAGAGATTAATAATATAATATCACAATGGCATTTCCATATCATAGTCACAGAAGTGGAAGTAACCATTGAGTTCAACTCTCGCTCTGTGTGGGATGTCCAGCTAGAGCATCTCCAGCAAGTAGCTTTCGAGGCCCTTTTAGGAGATGCCCAAAGGAGACCCCACCGTCACTAGTTTAGTCAATTGGCTGCATTGCTGAAACACACTTAATTGTCTCTTCCTTCCTTCTGATGTTCAGTTGAAATCTTCCATCCTTCTAGTCTTTAATTGAAAGTGACTCTTTTGTAACTTCAAACCATTAGATCTGGTCATACATGCTTCTGGCATACCAGAATATAGGACCACCTCTTCTTCTCTGCGACAGTCCTTAAGATATTTAAAGAATGCAATCATGTCACCCCTCAGTCTTCTCTTCACCAAGCTGAACACGGCCACCTCTTTCAACCTTTCTTCATATGTTTTGTTCTTTATACATCTTATCATCCTCATTACCCTTCTCTGAACCAATTAAGATATCAGGACCAATTTGAAATGTTACAACCTTCATAATGTAAGCGCTTACCTGTAACATCCACCAAAGTTAGCATCACCACAGGTAAGCAGTGCCTTTGGTGACTTTGGTGTAAAGAGTATAAGATTTCAGTTAGTCTTTAAATGTTGCACTATATAGTGATCATTCTGCAGTGGTGCAATGCGTTAAACCCATGTGCTGGCAGGAGTGCTGACTTAAAGGTTGGCGGTTCGAATCCAGGGAGCAGGGTGAGCTCCCATCTGTCAGCTCCAGCTTCCCATCTGCAGACATGAGAGAAACCTCCCACAGGATGGTAACACATCTGGGTGTCCTTGCAGGTGGCTAATTCTCTCACACCAGAAGTGACTTGCAGTTTCTCAAGTCGCTCCTGACACGGAAAAAAAAAGCTGCAGTGGTGGGTTAATAGCTCTTTATTTAATGGAAATAGCTGGATATGACTGCTTGAAAATGCACACCTTATTCCAGGATTGTCGTAAGGAGATACTTTGTGTGAACATCAGGTGTCTCAGTTCATCCTGGGAGACTAAATCCAGAGGGATGCTCTGCATTCGAATAATTGGAATATCTTGTTCAGTCACTTCTTTATTCAGTACTCACGTAAAACACATTCTACATATCTTTCTGGGGACAGTCTTCTGGGGTAGAAAATAGCATTTTTGTCTCATAATAAACATATATGGTGATCAATGGAACTGGGGGCCCTTCCACACAGCCTTCTATCCCAGAATATCAAGGCAGAAAATCCCACAATATGAGCTTTGAACTGGGTTATCTGAGTACACACTCTGATGTGGGATTTTCTGCCTTGGTATTCTGGGATATAGGGCTGTGCAGAAGGGCCCTGGGTGGATTCTTCCTTTAACTTAGTTGCTCTCACCCCCTCTTTCCCCCTGATGTTTTGGACTTCAGCTCCAAGAATTGGTAGCCACTATGCTTGGTGGTAAGAAATTCTGGGAGCTGAATACCGGAATACCAAAGACTGGGAATTCCCTGCTTCATGTAGATCAGTGGTTCCCAGCCTTTGGCCCTCTAGTTGTTTTGGACTTCAACTCCCAGAAATCCCAGCCAGCTTACCAGGTGTTAGGAACTGTGGGATCTGAAGTCCAAAACACCAAGAGGCCCAAAGGTTGGGAACCACTGATGTAGATGCTTACTGTGCAAGACTATTCAAGCGCTGCACCATAAAAGGACTAAATCCATTTTTGGGGCCAAATCATGTTCCAGATTCTATTGTGTAAGTAACTAATATCTGTGGCTTCAATTTGCTTTGCATTTGTGTGTTGAATTGTTTTTCTTGATCCAAAAAAACCATCTAGATTATGACTTTTGGGCAAAAAGTAGGTGTTGTTGCCATTCAAGAGTTTCCGTGTTACAGAGTAGCTTGATTTCGAGTACCCCATTGATAACAACACTTGATTGCCTTGCTTACAATATAGAGATAGGAAATCCTAGATTCTAAAGTGGCAGCATAGGTTTATGAGTTATGCCACCAATTATAAAAATATTGCCAGGGGAATAATTTATGTAAAGCTCCCATAGTAAAGATTTCCCCTTGACATTAAATCTAGTTGTGTCTGACTCTGGGGGGTGGTGCTCATCTCCATTTCTAAACTGAAGAGCCGGTGTTGTCTTAGACACCTCCTAGGTCATGTGGCCGGCATGACTGCACGGAGAGCCGTTACCTTCCCGCCAAAGCAGTACCTATTGATCTACTCACATTTGCATGTTTTCAAACTGCTAAGTTGGCAGACGCTGGGGCTAACAGCAGGAGCTACCCCAGCTCCCTGGATTTGAACTGCTCTCAGACAGGGAGTTCAGTTTAACCCGCTGCTCCATTGGGAGCTTCCATAATGCCGTATAGTAATAATAATAAAAATAATAATGATGATGCAATTCAGTTTGATAATATATTGACTTTAGTTCACAAACATCCTGAATTTGGATAGATTAAAAAAAACATTTTCCTAGGGAAATGGTTGCTTGAAATTACTGCACCCTAATGTTAGGCCATTTTCTACTTTCTGATATTGTTTTAATTCGGAGGTGGACAAATGGCAGTGATCCCTATATTTTTGGACTTGCAACTCCAATCAACTTTAGCTTGATTTGAACTGGAGATGCTTGTCAGGACCCTCTTCATATCAAATCATATGTGCTCTGTCTGCATTATTTATTCGGGAAAGGGCAGATTTTGGTATAGTCACCTGTACGTTTTGACAGTTTTGATTATTGAAATTGTTTGGATGAATTTCCTGTTCTTTTGCATTTTCCATCTCTCTTGCTAAGACATTACTAACTTTTCTACTTCTTATAGCTTCCTGCTATGGCTTTTCTGGTTATGTAGCGCGAGGGGGTGAGCGCATCATGGCCCTTTCACCTTCTGCCTATTTGCTTGCCTGGAATATGACTCTTCTTCACATCTTGTCTAGCTCTAATAACGTGCTGTTTATCTTTGAACCTCTTGTTTTTTCATTGCTGATTTCTAGATCTGCTTCATCGAGGATCAAGGGATTTCTCTTAACTATTATTTTGCACTTCTTTTTCATTTCTCTTTATTTTGTCGCTTTGCCGTCAGTTGAGTAGAGTAGGACTTATGACTCCATACCCTAAGTGCAGTAAAATGAGGTATGAGTATTGGAGAATTATCACTCTTGGGCAAATGGGTGAATAATAATAATAATAATAATAACAACAACAACAACAACAACAACAACAACAACAACAACAGGACCCAGTCACTGGTCAAATTAGCCCTGTATGTTTCTGGGAGCTCCTTGAAGGGTATTCCCCTTAATGCTTTAACAGAAAGTTTTGTCTTATTTAGATATTATTTTTCTTGCATCTACCAAGACTAGCAATTCACTTCAAATGGAAGGTACAATTCCAAATGAGATTAACTTAAATCCTAAGTTTGTGGGCATACACCACACCTTTCTAATCAGATTCTTTTGCCACTTAATTGACGGAATGGCCTTATCATATTTCCTATTGGAGTTTGAACATCAATCCTGGTTTATTTGTTATATTTGGTGGCAGACTTCAGGATTGTGATAAATATCATGTATGCAGAAGACTCTGGACCAGCTCCGGTTTTCCAGCTAGAAGGGCTCCAAGTACGTGATGGGAAAGATCTTTTTTAAGACTCTATAGATATGCTTCCCACCAGAAAAGAGAGTTCTGAGCTAGATACACAAGTAATCCAACCTGGTATAAGGCAGGATTCCCTGTTCCATATAAATTAACATCCAACATTTCCAGATTCCCACAGCTTCATTTCACATATTGAGACAAACCTGGATTTGCCGCAGTATACATTCCCAAGCTAGGGCCACCTGGTAGTGCAGCAGGTTAAACCACTGAGCTGCTGAACTTGTTGACCGAAAGGTTGGCGGTTCGAATCTGGGGAGCAGGGTGAGCTCCTGTTGTTAGCCCCAGCTTCTGCAAATGTACCAGTTCAAAAACTTACAAATGTGAGTATATCAATAGGCATTTCTTTATTTATTTACGACATTTATATCTCGCCCATCTCACCCTGAAGGGAACTCAGAGCGGCTTACAAGTGATATGCACATACACTATATTATTATCATAGCACACTATTAGTATTATATATTACTATATTGCACTATACTATTATACTGCAATATTATTAGTAATATTACATGTAATATAAAACATATAATTATTATATTATTATTTTGTATTACTATTAGTATTATATTGTATTACAATATTATGATCAGTATTATATGTACATTCAATATATTATAATTATTAGTATAGCACAATATTAGTATTATATATTGCTATACTGTACTATACCACTATAACCGCCTCAAGTAGCCTCTGGGTTGAGAGGGACGGTATACACATATCTATATAAATAAAAATGTAATGTTCATTTGTGGGATTAGCACAACTCAAAAACCACTGGACGGATTGTCACCAAATTTGGGACACAATACACCTATCAGGCCAACAAGTGACTAAAAACACTGAAAAACACAGCAGAAGAGACTTAAAAAGCAAAAAAAAAAGAAAGATACATTACAAAGCATGTGCAAAACCACATATACACACAAACACACACATATATACACACATATATACAGACTGGGCCACAGCAATGCGTGGCAGGGGACGGCTAGTAGTAAATAAATAAATAAATACTGCAAAATTATTAGTAATATTACATGTAGTATATAATATACAATTATAGGTACCGCTTCTGCTAGAGGTAATGATGCTCCATGCAGTCATGCTGTCCACATGACCTTGGAGGCATCTGCGGACAACGCCGACTCTTCAGCTTAGAAATTGAGATGAGCCCCACCCTCCAGAGTCAGACTCAACTAGACTTAATGTTGAGACCAATCATAGCTGCATGACACATGTTTCACTACACATTACATAGTTCTCCATGTAAAACTGAGTCTTGCTGGAAATCAGTCCTGGAGATGCTGCTTTTCTAACTTTTCTTTTGCCCCTTGCACATTACTGTAGCTGGACTATCGAGATGACTAGTTTATTGCTTAGTTGAGTTATGACTTTGTTTTCATTCATTCTTTGTTCCTTTTGCTTTCATTGTTTCTAACTTGCTTCATTTTTAAAAAAAATGTTAATTTAAGTAGCAGCCAAGTGAAAACTCTGATGTAGAAATTCCAGATTGCATTGGTGATGGAATTGCAGTAATGTGTGTTGTGGCTTGGGCCCCTCGCAGGAGTGTATCTCGCAGTCAGCAGTGAAAACCAAGTTTGAGCAGCACACTATCAGAGCTAAACAGATCCTAGATACTGTGAAAAATATTATGGACAGCATAAACGTGGCAGCAGCCAACCAAAGGTAGGCCTCTCTCCTGTTATGTTCACCTTGTGTAGCTAAGCTGGAAAAGGCCCCTGGGTGGCACTGACCTTTCTTCCCTTTATCAGAATGTACACAGGTCTTAACCCAATGCTGGCAAGAGGTGAGTACAGGATCTTTCTGGTTTGTCCCTTCGGGTGCATAAAAGAAGGTTTTGGCTTTTCCCAATGATGCTTTGGTTTTACTCTAGTTCCCAGGATCCTGAAAAAGTTTCCATATCTTGGCAATTCTGTCCAAAACTGATGCAAATCCTTATCAGTAACACCACCTCCATTGTCTATTTCTTTGCATGGAGTTTTTATTTGTGTGATAGTCTTAAATGAGAGAGAGACGGATATGCAAGTGAGGACTTAACTCCCTATAACCTATAACCGGGACTGTGGTGCAGCTGGCTGAGTGTCAGCTGCATTAAGATCACTTCTTTTATTTATTTATTTATTTATTTATTTAATACACTTATATACCGCAGTATCTCAGCCTGGAACGGCGACTCATTGCGGTTTAACAACAGATAAAAGCAATATACAATTTAAAAACAGCAACATATAAAACAATACGAATTATTGGGCCACCAATAAAACTTCATGCTTCTCATCACAAAAATCGCAGTCCTAGTCGTTTCCTGTTCCGTAATTTGACCAGTCCAAATTGTCCCATGTGATTCGTGTTTGAATAACTATAGTTTAAAACGGCTTGACTACACAGCCCATATGTTTTTTTAACCTCCTTCCCGGAAAACCTCATCAGCGAAAGAAGCCGATCGTATCTCTGAAGGGCGGGTGTCCCAAAGCCGAGGGGCTACCACAGAACAGGCCCTGTCTCTCGTTCCTT